TATCCCGTATAGTCACTATTACTGGGTGGGTGGGTGGGGGTCCACCTAAAAATGATGCTAATTACAGCGAAGCCAGCCTGATTCTGCTCAATCCCTGTCTAATTCTGCCTACTTCGGCCCAAAGTCTGCAAGTATTTACCCGCTTGGAATCCGAGGATATAATTTGTCCCTGAGGGTCCAAGTACTTAATCATCATACACTTGCCCCAAACTTGCACTATACTTGCGATTACCCAAATCCCAAGTACCTAATTATTGGGTACTTCGACGATATGGGTGTACTGTTTCTGGGGTGCTGTTCAGAAGCTTTTAAATTACTATAATAACGGAAACCCAGTTATTTACTATATACCCATTTTAAGGCAACTTAAGCTCCTTGACAGCAACCCAGGTTTGGGCATCCCTGATGCCGCGGCCAGTTCCGCCTTCATTCGCGCAAGCTCCCCTTTGGAAGCAGCCAGCTCCTGGCAGGCTTCATGGGAAATGGATCTTGGGAGCTTCTAGAAATCAGGGGTCCCTTTAAGAAAGAAGGAATTTAGTGGATTGTGGTCTGCATTGGGGTTACCCCTGTTGACGGAAACTACCATTTGAGGGTTTCAGGGCTTGGGCTTTTCCCAGCTGGCACACATGCAAGGCAGTCCACACCAAAACGCTGTTCAAGGCAACTGACTGCATCCATTTACAAACCTACAGCGAACGCTCAGACGTGAACCACAACGTTCATTATGCCACATGTCAGAATCTCAATGGTCCTGCAGACTTCCCTGTCTAAAAAGACCCGGCCATGCCTGTGACAGGCCAGCAGAAGTTTGCTCGACCTCCACTCAGAGATCTCTTTGAAGAAGGCTTCTGGATAGTTGAGGGGCTGTGCATAAGGGTCAAAATATCAGCCCTGATATAGCACAAGCATACACAGACAAGTCTTCCAGGAAGTCGTATTTGAAGCGTCATGGGTACTTGGCAGCGTAACTACAGTTGCGACAAGTTATAACTTGTATCTGTGGTACCTTGAATCAACCCAACAAGCGTCCAAACCCTGTAGCGCCCGACCCTCCAAGCTGGAACTCCCAAAGAAACCAACAGGTAGCCACCTCCTGGGTGCTAGGGCCTATGCAAGGTGCGCTAAAAGGCCCCGTGAACGTTTCATGAAACTCTGAGCGCCAAAAACATCAAACCCAGAACTCCCGCACTCCTAAAATCCGAAGCGCTGCAAACCTATTGGGCTGAAGACCATAAAGTTCAGCCACCTTCTTCACTTCCCCGAGCAGCTTCAGGATCTGAGCCTTCCACCTCACATAAGCTCGGATAAGGGACCATTTGAACGATAATAGTAGTAGTCAGAGTACTAGTACTAGCACGAGTAAAAGAATTCCAGAATTCCCAGGAGTAACAGTCTTAGTAACCATAATACTCTAGAAGCAGTACTTCGGTATAGCAACCGTACGAACAACATCAAATAGTATTGCCCTGTAATCAGTAATCTTTTCATTCCATGTGAAAGGTCTTTGAGGGTCTATGTAAAGCTTAAGGCTTATGAGCTCCCCAGTTAGGGCTCTGAGTCTTTGCTCAGAATCCTACAGATATAATGCCTACATGGAGTTCAGGAGGGATCCACGCAGTACACATTAAGGCAGAAGCGTTTTGAAGACAGCCATTCTTCGGCCAATAAAAAATGAAGAGGCAAACCCGTATACTTATGAGGTTCCATGTAGCAACGGGAGCCATATCTTCTGATAATTTCTTTTATGATTATTGTATTTTATGATTATTTTATGATTTGGGATTTTCCTCGTTTATGTGTCTTTTATGATTATTTTACGGTTTTGGCTGGTGATCATTCTAAGGGGAAAAGAGGCCCTGACAGCTGGTTACCGTGATCATATTGTTATGGCCGCTTGTTGCATAAAAAAACATACTTTTTTCATTAAAAACAAAAAATCATAAATTTTTCATAAAACACAATGTGTTTTTAGATTTTTCGGATTTTTAGAGGTTCCGGGGATCTCGCCCCTCACGACCCACCCCCCAGACACCTAAAAAACAATGAAAAATCATACATTTTTCATAAAAAAATCATAATTTTTTCATAAAACACAATGTGTTTTTAGGTTTTTCGGAATTTTAGAGGTTCCGGGGATCTCGCCCCTCACGATCACCCTCCAGACACCTAACAAACAATGAACACTCATACATTTTTCATAAAAAATCATAATTTTTTCATAAAATACAATGTGTTTTTAGATTTTTCGGATTTTTAGAGGTTCCGGGGATGTCACCCCTCACGACCCTCCCCCAGACACCTAAAAAACAATGAAAAATCATACATTTTTCATAAAAACATCATAATTTTTTCATAAAACACAATGTGTTTTTAGGTTTTTCGGAATTTTAGAGGTTCCGGGGATCTCGCCCCTCACGACCACCCTCCAGACACCTAAAAAACAATGAAACATCATAATTTTTTCATAAAAATCATAAATTTTTCATAAAACACAATGTGTTTTTAGATTTTTTCGGGATTTCAATCACCTTGTGAAACCCATAAAAAATCAGAGTGCCGGGCATAGAAAAATCATAAGTTCTGCCCCTGAAGCCATAAAAAATCATACTTCCAGGCATAAACGAGACCGTAAAAAAATCATAAAATAATCATCTTCGTAAAATAATCATAAAATTGACTTTTTTCAAATCATAAAATAAGCATAAAAGAATCATAAAAGAAATTAAACCTTGATTGCTTGACCTGGTAGGACATCGAAACTCATAACCGTATACAATCCTTCTGCAATCCATGTCACCATCTGTCCCAATTAGCCCAACCCATGAAATGCGTCCCTCATGTACCCAACTCCCCTAAGTCCACAAAACCCCCTAATCCCGAAACAATTGATCCCCAAGAACCGTAGACTCTAAATTCCTGAGTAGGCCTACTGAGCACCAGGGAGCTGAAACTGGGGGTCAAGACTTCTCCTCCTCATGTAGCCTCGTCTCCTGGAGCCTGCCAGGGAAGCAACAGACTTTTTATCTCACAGCTGCCTTACCTGGATGAAAAAAACACTAAACGCCATTATTCTACATACACTGGGGTTCCAGGTAGGGCTTTAGGAGTTAGGGAGTTCGGGCTTCGGGCTTAGGTGCTTGGCACTTTCAGAGGATTTAGAGACTAGAAGCCAGGTACATTTGACTTTGTTTTTTGGCAATCAGGGGTTCTGGAGCTTCTGGAGCTGACGAGCGACTTGATTCCCATGACCAGTTTCCGGTGATCTGCTGCATGGGGAGGTTCCAGGCATCAGAGCTAACATTGTCCCTACTCTCCCATTACTCCAGGAGGCAAACGAATACTTGGATAGATTCATGGTGAAACCCATGCCCCCAAAATTGAGGTCTTCTGCAACATCATGGAAACTCAGAAGGACCAGTGTCAGCATAGCAAAGCTGACAGTAAAGTTATGGCTCGAACCTCTGAAGCTCAAGCTTACACGTAGCACAAATGGGTGATGATCCAACAATGCTCCTCAGCCCCACCCCTCAACCCTGAAACTCCAATTCCCTCAAGAAGTGACATTCGGCTCTGAGCCCGTAATGCAGCACAGCTGCAAAGCCTGAACCCTAAACCCTTGACCCACAGACGTGTGGCCTTTGCATTTCTGCTTCGCGCTCACGAAGTGCCGTCTGGGCTGCTAGACCTCAGATTATAGAATTTTGGGTTCCGGGTTAAGGCCAATGAAGGTTAGGTGATGGGTTATAGGCATAGGAATTATCGCTTTTCAGGTTCAGGGTGCAGGCGTCAGACGGTAGAAGATCTATGTGCTATGATGTGCTGTGCAGTCGATGCTTTCTCAACAAAGGGCTAATGGCCCCAAGCGACCCTAGGGCTTTAGGATATGGAGGGTATGAAATGGTGGTACGAGTCCCCAAAATGAGCAAAGTCGGATTAAACAGTTAAACAGGCTTACATTTCCAAGAGCAGGCAATCTTCGGTCACATCCCAAATCCTAGACCCCACGCTCTGCAACGACATCCCATGACCCTCACATGAGGCCAGGTTGCTTGGGGCTAAGGGCCTTCAATGCAGTCGCGGTGAATAGGCCCATGAAATTCGACGAAATCAACAGCAAGCTCTGCATGATCCTGCTAGGACAAACGTAGAGGCTCTCAAGGCGAATCGAAACGCTACTGTTGATGGATGAAATCCTGCACCACTTTAGGTTCCCGTAACGCTAAAAAATGGGTTTAAGGGCTCCAATAGGTTCCCGTAATGCTAAAAAGATAAGTTTAAGGGCTCCAAGTGGTGGAAGATTTCCTACATTGACAGTGGAGCCCTCATCCCCGCGGTCTTTTGCCTGGCAAGTCCATTCCAGCTTTGCAACAGTGTGAGACTTTGAGCATGCATGGTCTGCATGAGCTCCAATGACCTGGCCATGGGTTTGGGTTAGGAAGACCCCCACACCCTGTCATGTATATAGTAGGACCCTAATATGACCCTTATTCGGCCCCAGGGCCCAAGGTTCAGAAATCGGTCTTAGGAGATGCATGCACGAGGATTGATTTACCTAGTGAATCTCATGTTTTCTACGGATGACAGCCTAGGCGCCTGAACTTTTGTAGGGTCAAGGTCTCCAAAGTCCTGTGTCATGCTAGCATTCCATGAGTTGTGGCCTTCTCCCAGAACAGATCTTGACTGTGACCTGGCCATCTGGAACAATAACACTGTATAAGCCTCATATGGGGTTTCTCAAAAAGGGGGTTGGTTTTTGGGGACCCTGATATCAAAAACTGCATCTAAGAGTTGCATTCGCATCAAATAGTCGCCCCCTTGCCTTCCCGTCCCCTGAAAAAGCCCTGCGCGTCAGGCTGTAACAACGATCAGACCAGTTTGGCTTTCAACTCTTGCAGCCTTGTGCCACCAGGCTTTTCACCTCTAGATCCCACAAGAAAATCACTACCTAAACCCCCCAAGACCCTTCAAACTCCTGCACCCCTAAACACCCCAGACCTCGCCTCCCCAGCACGAGGGCATCAAAGCAAGCAGAGATTGTTGCGCTGCAGCAGATCCTCAGGTCTCCCAACTTCAAATTTCCTTCCTAGGGTTTAGGGCTTCAGGGTTTAGGGTTTAGGGGAGCAGGGTTTAGGGTTTGGGGGTTCGAAGTTTAGGGCTAAGGGTTGAATAAGACTACTTCTGGTACACCGTGGAATGAAATGGAAAAGGGACGGACATGAAATGGACATATGCCTTAAACATGGAGGGTACTGGCTTTGGCAACCTGAACCCACAAAGAAGGAATGCTAAAACTAAAATGTAACCAGGATGTGATTTTGGGAGTTTGGGGCACCAAAACACTCTTCTTAACGACGAGGTTTCAAGGTCAAGGCATACGGTTTTGGGTTGAGGCGCTAGGGTTATGTGGTTGAAGGCCGCGAAGTCTCTGGGGGAACTTAGGGAGCCTCCTGGGAATGGGGGTTCAGCAAAATGGGGGCTTACCAAAACCCATGCGTCAAGGGATACGAGCTGAAATGAAACAAGGTTCTCCTTGTCTAAGCTGGCAGCTCTACGTTCCAGCTGCAAAAAGTAACAAGAAAAGGATGCCAAGGTTCTCCTTGTGACGCAAGTTATCGCCAACAAGCTCAAGTAAACTGGCGTTGGGAGGTTGAGGGCTTCAGCCTAGACCCTCCGCCTACCCTCTAGTAGGGAGTAAGTACCCACTGTTAGGCCCCTCTAGCCCCAATTAAGGGTACAGTAGTAGGACGGTGATGGAAGGTATAGGGGGGTTGGGGGGCCGCAAAGCCCGAAAGCTTCAGGTTCAAATTTCTAGCGGAGAGCCTTGGCCTAAGCCCAGTACGAAAGACCAGCACAGACAGCAAAAGGTAAGTATGCGGGGTGATAATTTGCAGGATGCTTATAGCCTGGCTATAAGTTCAGCATCTCCCTCCTGCATAGACCACTCGCAGACTGAGGGTGCAGAGAAGTAGGACTTTGGCAAAGCGTTGTTTGAGCAAGTCAAGTTAAAACGTAGGGTGCCCATATGTCATGAACACACTCTCGATGCGCGGATCCTGCATGCAAAGTGCCCTACGTATCCTTAGTTATATAACCACTATATTACCCCTATGTAAATACCTTCTTAATTACCGATAAGAATCCCTAGATCATCTCTTCTGATCCCCCATGACTACGTGACTCTTGGAGCAGCTTCGGCCCGCTGAAATGCAACAACATCGAAGATGCTGACATGGTAGTGCCCGTATCGTATGATTTTTTGGGTTTTTTGGAGCTTGATCCTGCAAATTTCTATCTCTCAAAACCCCCAAAGAAAGCACATTCCATGTCCATGGTGCTAGCCGTCGCTGCTTCAAAAACAACCCAGATCAAATCGCCTGAGACCCTAAGACTCACAAAACAACAGCCATCTGCAAAGGCTCATGTCTCCGGCAAGCTCATGTTCACCCGAACAGAGCAAGTAGAGTGCCAGCTGCCACAGAGACCCTGCACTACCTCAAGATGCATGGCGCTTCAGGATGTTGAGGGCTTGGGGTTTGGACGAAGTAAATTCTAAGGTCAGGGTGTTTGTCATAGAGCTGTTCTGAAGAAGCCCATGTCGTTCCTTTGCCCCTGTTATACTGGGAGATAGAAGCAGCGTTTTCAAGCACTTTGGTGCATGAGTACGAGGGAAAACATGCCACAACAATAGGTCCAACTCTGTACTGCAATTCACATGTTTCTGTGATTTTGTAAGGTGGTGCGCCTGTTTCTGCCCAATATACACGCATATGTATACACGTTATTCTTTGGATATCATGCGATTCTGAAATGCACCAATCGTGTCATTGCCTGGTGTGAGCCACCAGTCGGACTCAAAATGCGCTTTTACCTACCCATAGGATTTGGGTGACAAGTAGGGTACCCAGGTTTGAGGCCCATGTTAGGGGACCCTGCGTTTGACCCTTTTAGCCTCTTGCAGCTTGTAGGTTGCTAACCCTTGAATTGAACGAACCGCCTGGTAGCTGAACTCGTCTACTGTGCATGCTACAAGCACTCAGATGCTGCGGGTACTTGCAGCTGGGCTGAGAAGTGGAATGATTAGAGCTCCGTGTAACTGGTTCCAGCCATGTTTAGGGTTTCTCTCTCTAACCTGAAAACCCGAGCCAGTCCCAAACTTCCTACACCCCAATTTATCCACGAACTCAAGTATATCTCCCCGCTTCCATCATGCTTGTCTCCCCACAATAATCCCATATAGATTTTACGGTCCCTGTTTGAGAAACACCAGCGATCAGTAGAGCCACCCAAAAAAAAACATGTTCAAAGACCCAGGCACAGGAGCGGATGGCAATGCCGAAGGCCACTGAATCCTGAAGCTAGGGTTATAGGGTTGAAGTGCTAGGGTTACGGCTTGAATTAGGCAATGCGGTCTCTAGCAAAACTAGCATGAGGCCAGGAGAAGAGGTTTAACACATGACGGCATGCGTATGGGCTCTTTCAAAACAGGTGTACTTGGTTCGGAGTTCCTACACTGAAATTGAAATATGTTATCCGGAGTGCAGAAGGGTGGTGTTTTAAAACAGCCCCAGAGAAGTCGAACTCTCCTAAACCCAACTAATCCAAAACCAGTCAAGGTTCCCCAATGCATCCGTGGGTATGGCTTGCATCCATGAGTGCCAAGGCCTCAGATTAGAGGCCGAGAATGTAGGGACTTAGGGGTTTAGGGCTTTAGGGTTTAGGGGCTTAGGGTTTCAGGGGTTTGGGGTTTAGGGGGTTTAGGAGTTTAGGGATGTAGGGTTTAGGTCTGTCTCCGTGAAGCGTGCGCCTGGTCAAGCAATCAAGGCCCTCCAGTACGAAACCACGCAACACAAAAATGCTACGCAGACATCCCAAAGGGGTCCATGTAGCTATTTGGCATACGCATGGACCGCGATAATGACTGGAAGGAGCCCAAAGTACGTCTCGTCTAGAGACTTTAGGGCTCGATGTAAACATCATTTATAGACTTTAGGGCTCAAGTTGTTTGAGACTTGGATCCCCAGAAAATTTTCCGAACTCGCTAGGAGTTAAACCATGAGCCAGACCCCACATGCATCCGAAGCAATGTTATTGATGCTGGAAATCTTGCACCACCTGTCACACTGTGATTTTGGGTTTTTAACCTGGTAACACCAACCCCCCTAATCAGGACCTGATCAAAGTCACATGATAGTTATAGGCTCCTAATTTTGGGGGTTGGGGTTTCCGAAACCCTTATTAATCTGGGGCCTCTCAACTGCTGCAAGCCCCAGACACGAATCTGATTCCTTGCACACTAGTTGCAACGTTTTGCTCTCATACACACTAACGGGAGCCCTAGTATGGGGAAAACTAATTGCATATATGATGTTCCTCAGTGGGCTTCACTAACCACAAGTTTGGAATCCTGTTCAAAATTAACTCGGCAAGCATTCGCGAGCCTCAGCAAATCTTGCACCTCCCTATTTACCTTATATTTCCTAGGAACCACACACATTTTGGGGATCCTAAGTGGTCCAAGATTTCCTCCATCCCACTGGATGGTGCATAAATACTCCATCAACAGAACCGGCAGCTGCTACCCAAGAACCTTCGGCGCATAGATACTGACTGAGCACACAAAGCCCGGCCCTAGCGATATGGAGTAGAAAGCTAGCACCACGTCTCAAAAGGGCTGCCTTCTAGTTCATATCTGAGGAAAGAAGGATCGAGACCATAACTGAAAACTTTGCACCTAAAAATCACATTTCTTTGAGATGATAACACAACTCCCAAAGATTCTACGTACTTGCGTCCCTTCCGATGCTCCCAGACACAACCCCAATGAGAAAAATTAAGCTCTCCCATTGCTGCAGAACGAAGTCGCAGCTTCCCAGTGACCACAGCTTTCACAGGCACTCATGGCACAACTCCTCCGCACAATTTTCCATTAAAACCCCAACGGAGCTCCTGTATAGCCGCCCGAACATTCCAAACTCTGCAAACCCCTTCTGTCTTCGCGCTTAACGGCTTAAGCAACTTTGAGGACAAGAGGTTCGAGCTACTGATTGTGCCCTGGCTCTAGATTTGGTCCGCAACAGGCGTGCGACATGAAGAGGCCTCTCTTTCAAAGAGGGCACAAATTAGGATCTTCTGATGCCCTCGCAAAGTGCTAAATCCTCGCCTCTCTGGCAACCCATGGAGCAACTCCAATTCATAAATCCCTGAATCACTGAATCTTGAGGCCTTAGCTAAGCCGTAACCCTGGACTTAATCACGCCTCATAGTGCATCTTTGTCACGTGGGAGCCTCGCATGAGGCACCTGCCCCCTAATTGAGGACCAACATTTTTCTTGATGGACCCTACACATCAACCCCAATAGGCTGAAATCCAGAACGCACACAAAGGAATGCAAAGTCTTGAAAATCAGGAAGGTTCGTGTCTTTGATAATCTTCCCTATCTAGCTGTAGAAAAACATGCCGCAAAACCCTTTTCTACTAATCTGGCCGCGCTTTTGCCAGGGGCCCAGCCTACGGCAAACAGATCATCCGTGCATTCATGATAGCACAGGCAATCACGTTCATCTCCTTGCACATCCCTACAATCCCTTAGCTCCCTGGGCTCCAGCAGTGGTCGTCGATCTTCATTCTCCTGGGTTGCTGTTATTTAAGCTACCATAATGGGTATAACGGGATAATGGAAAATAAAGTGGAAACTGCTGTAGTATAATAGGGCTATATTGGGGTTATATAGGATTTACATTAGGATAATGCAACCCAGTCTCAGGTCCAGCATCCCGGCCAAGCAGTGGACGCTTAGCTCCCATTGCCCGGTCCTCTGGGCTTTGTCAGCTAAGGATTTGGGGTTGCCAGGGGGATAAAGGGAGATGAAAGGATGTACAAGGTTATACGAAGGCACATATGGGGTTTATAACTATGTTGGAGAGAAATGGCATGGGGATTCCACGCGTAAGGCGCTCCAATATGCAAACCTTAGAATGCCTTAGCACATGATAAAAATTACTGTAGGGGCTCCCACAAAAAAGGCCCAACATCTCTTGAAACCCTTATCCCCCTAATCCCTATGAACCTTCATGTAATCCCACCTTCCACTTCATGTACCATGTTTTCTGTTTGATTCTCCATTAGTGGGGTTCGGGGATTAGGGTCTGGAGTTGGGATTTGAGGTGTTCGGGCGTAAAGCATTTCGGGCTTCGAGCTTTTGTGTCTGGGGTTCAGGGGTCTAGAGCAAAGGGTTTAAGTCTGAGCTTGGTGAAGGCCTTGGGTTTTGTTTCAGAAGCCCCTTAATTTCGGAAATCTTCCTGCTTGCACTATGAGGAAATCATCAGGATTTGGCGCGTGTAGAAGAAGACGGCAAGGTCTACACTGGCGCTGCTCATCTTTTTTGTGCTTCTCGTGCGGAATTCCCAATCTACGTTTAGTGCGCCTTGTCCACTGCACCTGTTGCGAATACCCTTACCCTTGGAGAAAACTACTTACTAAAATCACGTTAGAAATCATGTTCGGACCCAAAATCAATGCGAATCAAGAAGATTGCGGCAGCACGAGTGCTGATCCGTACAAGAAGTATCGCAATCACACGGGGCAGCTGATGTCGGTTCCTCTATGATCAACTCGTTGCTTATATACTGGGCTGGAGACTGGAGTCCTCAAGAACCCACATGCCTTTTTTCTTTGCACCCGAAGATGGGCCAGCCATGTTAAGGAGTTTCAAATAAGTTCAAAGCCTTGCCAGCCCGTAATTAGCCAGCCATTCACAAGCCTGCCTCTCGCAAGCTGCCATGGCAGTACTGTGCCCAATGAGATCCGGAAGAACGGCGCTTGACCTGCAGTTAGGGTTTCGGCCTTGACGATTTTAGTGCGGCCCCGCGCGGTGTGCTAGGGTTTCAGGGATAATACGGCTAATATCGCGCTTATCGGACAGCGCTTTTAGCATACAACAACATGAAGGTTTTAGGCCCAATGCCCTGACAAGCCCTTTGGAGTTGCAGGCCTCATCTGGGACAAGAGGATGAAGCTTTGCCTCCAACGCTGCACCTTGCAAGAAGGTACAGTAGACGTAGATACCCTGAGGGCTGTTCAGCTTTGCAGCTAAGGGTATACATCTACCTCTGATAGTAACGGTAAGGCTTCAGGGCGAACGTTAACAGATTTCAGGGTTTAAGGCTTAGTGTGCCGGGTCGAGATTTCGCAGTTTGGGGCTTCGTGTTTTCAAACGAGGTGTAACACCTGTCAAACAGGGGGGGTAGATATTAAGGTTTTGATATTGCACGAACTGTTGCGCAACCCTAAGTACGCTACACTACCATAAACTCTGAGACTCTTAGCGCTTACGCTTGTGTCAGGTCAGGCAGGATTCTGTCCGTCCGAGATTGTTCGGTCATTGCAGCAGTTCCAAGTAGGGAACCGTGGCTTAGGTTGCAGGCAATAAATCTGAAAATAAGGCCTAACGTGCAACAGCAGTAGACCAAATGATGGGAAGCTACAATAATCTTCTTCCTTCGGAAAGCTGGCGCAATAGTATCTGCACGTGTGCCAATGCGCAAACTCAACAACCCTAGCCTTCCAACCTTAACGCACCGACTCAATCATCTGTGGAGACGCGTGTTTTGTCTTCTAAGTAATTGTATTTTGTCTGGACCTTCACTTCAAACCAGGACACCCATCAGGATCTTCCATACAATGGTAGAAGAGTCCAGCTGCGATATTCAGTATAAGGGGGTTATGTGGGGGATCATATAGTATCATATCAGGGAAGATTATAGGGTTTATGAGAGATTGAAGTCGAATGACGCTGTCCATGGAGTCCACTAGAGCGCATATTTTTGGATCCCGGCCTCTTCGCATATCTGGATCTGCGCGTTGTAGCCTGGACCCATGCATCGGGACAGTTCTCAGATTGATCTGCAAAAGATTTTTGTGTGTACCAGTTTTGCGAATGATCAAGATCGCGCTCTCAGCTTGCACAAAATGAAATCATGTAATCCGCTCCCCTAGTGATAAACCCCCTAAACAATAAATACTCCTCCTCCAGCTCCTCCCAACAAATCCCAACTTCAGAAGATCCCTGAAAATTACGCTTAGGAGGCCAAGATTACTTCGAACAGAGGTCTTCGTAATGATGCATTCAAAAGGCTCTGCAGTCATCCAGGATGCGCTTGGTTTCTTGCGCTTTTATTTGTTTGAATATATCTTTTACAACAAAATCTCTAAACTCAAGGCCCAAATGCGATTCTCATTGAATTTTCACCCGTGTGTAGTATATGTCCAAATATTTTCATTACTGGCTTGACTCGGTTCAAATACAATTTTAAAGATGCCCTAACCAAGCTGGAAATTGGTATTAACCAGATTTAAATTGACCGGAAACATGTTTCAATGGATTTCTATTGGATTTCAAGTGATTAATTTTTGTTGATCTGTAATCACATCTGAAAGGCTGCTAATTAACTTCTATTCAGGTAATAATCAGAATTGGCCGGATTTTGAAGATTTTAATCAGACTTGATATAGTCTTCTTTGGATTTGAATTCGATTCCAGTTGGTTTGAAATAGGTTTTTCTCAGATTCCAACGTTTTGAAGTACATTCTTATTGGTCTGAAGCAATTTCCATAGATTGTGAGTAGATACCTGAAAACTTTTGGCGCTCAGCCACCCGCTGATGGATACGCCAGGCGGTCTTGAATTCGGGGCCGGGGGTTGGGCCGTACAGCGCTGGAAGCTGTTGATGTTTTGCATCATGTGCAACTGCAACGATATTAAATTGTGGCACATGCCACGTGTTTGTAATCGGGCTGAACTATGCTGCTTGCAACATTGGGGATTGTGCGTATGGGATGATGCGCAGATTTCTAAAAGTGAAATGCCTTCTTCATGCTGCATTCGCATGTTAAGAGAGCACTCCAATAGGAGCCGCCACAAAGTCACAAAAAAAGATCGGGCTGGCTTCTTGATTTGCCCACGGCAACTTGTCTAGCAATGTCAGGCAGCTGGAGCCAAACGGCACGGAAGATTCCAAACAAACGACACGGCGGCATATGCGTGGAGCGTGCACTGTAGCAATTTGAGAAAGCGTAAGAGCTTGATGATCCAATTTGTCATCTTGCGCAAGGGAGTTGCCATGAAAAAACCCAATTTTCACACATCAAAAGCGGTCGTTACGTCATGGGCAATAACACGCTACAATCATGCTAAATATGACAAAGCAAAGGCGCAAAATACATGCCTGGACCCTATGTAAACGCAAGGGGTACCATGCAGCTACAATGAGAATTGGGAAAACGCATGATGGAATCGGTGGGAGCTTCCTTTCACTGTGTCAAGGGGGCTTGGGGTTCAGGATCTTGAGAAACAGTGAGGCAATGCTGAATTTTGGCATCGTCAACAACAGATTGCCGCAGCTGCGCCAGCTAGTTGGGGGCATCTCCGATACTGGAGCTAAAGAGGGAAACATAATGGCTATGCGCGTCAACGAGTCCTGAGATGAAGTGATGTGATCTTCTTCTTATGTGCCCAAACTCCATCATACATAACCGACAAGGGAGCTCTTACCATCCAGGATACGAAGCGTTTTGGGGTTTTGATGGCTTCTCCTCCTCTATCCGTTGCGTAGCGCCATTGGGCAATAATTTCCCTCAGTTTGAACACACTACCCACCAAATGATGGACCGGAGGCCCCTTTCAAGGATTCTTGCTTGGGCAAACAGCAGGCATTCCTTAGGCGCAACCCTGGCAATGTGGCAGCTCCTAATTCCTGCTGGACTATTCGAAAAGTTTCGAAACAGAATGGCTTCTGGCGCTTTTTCATTGAGTGGGGACACAACAACTACCCAACCCCAAACTTCTTCCTGCTAGCAGAGCACCGCGCTCGTCTGATGAATGCACTCATCTCTACCATCAT